CGCTCTATGAGACCACTGTAAAGTCCAACGATCGCTCTATGAGACCACTGTAAAGTCCAATGATCGCTCTATGGGACCACTGTAAAGTCCAATGATAGCTCTATGAGACCACTGTAAAGTCCAGTGACCGCTCTATGAGACCACTGTAAAATCCAATGATTGCTCTGAGACCACTGTAAAGTCTTCTGTTCCACCTGGCAAACATGATTCATGGAACACTCAACGCAAAAGGGAAATATGTACACCCCAATGGTCAAAGTCTTATTAGTGCTATTGATAGCTTGCTAATAAAGTTTGTATGGTATATTAATCACACAGTTTTAAAGTTGCCACTGAGTTGATTCCAACCCCTGGTGACCCCACGTGTTCACAGAGTGAACTGTGAAGCGTGGGGGTGTCGTTGGTTGATTTTGGGAAAGCAGATTGGCAGGCCTTTTTTGGAGCGCATCTGGGGGTGCAGGGCTTGAACCTCCCACCTGTCAGTTATTATTAGCACTTACCCAATAGCTCTAACCAGAGTCATCAGCACAGACAAATGAGAACAGAACTTACAACCAGATCAGGCTGCATTGTAATCAGAATTGTCTGCGGGACTTTCTTGAGTTACTTAACTTCTCTTAGCCTTCGTTTTCTCATCTTACAGAATTATGGTATGAAAAAAAAGGTTATATATACAGAAAGAACCTCTCATGCACTAAATAGCATTTCCTTATATAGTAAGTGATTAGGAATAACATTCACTTTTAATAATACGACTATTAATCATAGTTTCCCTACTATCATTATAAACATGTTCCACTGTATATAATATCTGTGTTTACATTTATTCATTTATCACCATCACTCAAAATTAGTTCACTGCCATCAAGATGACTCCTACTCACGGCAACCTGAGAGGACAGATTAGAACTGGCCCTGGGAGTTTCTGAGACTGTACATCTTTACCGGAGGAGAAAGCCTCATTGTTCTCCCCGGGAGCAGCTGATGGTGCTGAACTGCTGACCTCGAGGTTAGCAGCCCAACAATTAACCCATTACACCACCAGGGTTACTACATCACATGACAGAGAACACCCACAGAGTCTCTTTCTTTTATTCAGAAATGATATATTGCTAAAAGATGTCAGTGATGATCCTTTCTAGAAGTCAAATATTGCCCTGATTTCAATTATATTCATAGATAATCTTTATGGAGCACTTCCCTACACATGCGGGGGAAAGACTGGCTGTTACTCCCATCATGAGAGCAGTCTGTAACTGAGTGTAAGGATGAAGAAATATTCTTAAACCGATGGTGGTGATGACTGTACAACTATTCCTGATGTGACTGAACTGTTGAATTGTATGATATGTGGAGTATATGCCAATGAAACTGTTGGAGGAAGAGTTACAGTCTCAAAAACCCACAAGGGAAAAATAAATTTTAAAAAAATAACAACAAATACTAAAAAAAGAACCATGACCAGCAATCCACATCTGAGATCCCTGCAGAAAGTGAGACCAGAGGCACCAAGGTACCAGGCGCTGCAGCATGGAGACCGCGGAGCAGAGCAGAGGAGCCAAGCAGAGGAGCTGCATCGCTGAAACCCTTAGGCAGCGAGGCAATGCTGCAGGCAGCCTGTTTGGCCCACAATGGCAGAAGCCAAGAGCCATGTAGCTGGAAGGCTGAGGGCCAGAAAGGGCAATTAGCTGCAAGGCTGAACAAAAGGCACTATTGTGGACCAATGACTACATCCTTACTGTTTACTGATCCTGACTGCAGTAAATGGTTCATTTCCCTAATAAACCTTCATCACTGAGAACAAAAACAAAAGCCCACAAGGGGTCTTTTCTTTCTTACTCATTATTCTTATCTTTATATTATTATTATTTATTTCTGTTTGGTTTTGTACTGTTTCTGCTACATTTCCCAGTTTATGAAGCACAGGAGGGGTGGATGCATAGAGACAATAACTGATATAATGGGTTATTGGGGATGGGGGCAAGGGGTGGGGAGGGTAAGGGTAATTGTAGAGTAAATAATGCATGTTGGGAGGCAGGAGGGAGCACTAGAATTGATTGTGATGATGTATAGACAACTCTTTTTAAAACCAATTTAACTATAGACATGTATGATATGTGAATTTTATAACAAGAAAACAATTTATAAAAACCCACAAGGTTGTCCACTGCTGGTGAACCTGTAGGTATGTACAGCCATTATGGAAATCAATTTGGCAATATCTAAAACAGTTGGAAATTGAGCTACCATATGACCCAGCAATCCCCCTACTGGGCATATACCCAAAAGAGACAAAAAAACAAACCACGGCCAGACATGTGTGCCCCAATGTTCATCAAGGCAAGGTTCATAGTTGCAAGAGTTGGAAACAGCCCAAAATTTCATCAGCAGATGAATGGATTAAAAAACTATGGTATATACCTACAATGGAGTATTATGCATCCCTAAAATGCATGATGAACGTATTAAACACATCGCCACATGGGAAGAACTGGAGGAAATTATGCTAAGTGCAGTAAGCCAAACACAAAAGGACAAGTACAACATGAGTCCATTGAGGTAAGCTCAAAAAATTCAAAAGGGGCATAGAGAAGAAGCTACTGCATACATGCGTCCCTGGGGGGAGGTTCAGGTAATATGGCAGGGGCCAGACTAAACCCAGGGATGCATATGGTATACTAAAAGGGCAGGGGGGAAGGTAAGGGTAGCCGGAGGAACAGGGCACTAACCCACATAGGGGGAGGGTGTTGATTATGTCTTCACAGGGAAAGAGGGACCAGACTTCAACCCGAAGCTCCAAGACAAGAACGCAACACACTGACATGAAGCAGGGAACCGACAGAGAGGCCTGAGGGGCCGGCCCATTACCAACTAAGTGGACAGCACCACCCTCCCCCCCAGAATTCACTTCAGAGGACAGCACTGAAGCTACAGCTCAAGAAGAGGGACTTATCTGATCAGAGCACACAGGAGCCAACGAGGAAGCAAAGGGGAAAAAAATAAAAAAGAGTGAAGCACATCCTGGCTCACCAAGCCCTGAGGACAATGTTTCTGCTCAGAGCAGCAATGCACAGAGACGACCACAGGGCCGGCCTCCCCATGGGTCACAGCATTCCTCACTGACCCATAGCACCATTGGAGATAACACTAGAGAAACACGTGGGAATTGTGCCAGCCCTGAGCTTACTACACCGAAGGCAGCCTCTGGGGGCATGCAACAGAGCAGCGGGGGGAGTAGAGCAATGAAGTCCCCAGGGATAGATTTGGGGCCAGGGCATGGCACCCCATCAGACTCTACTGGAAAGCACTCGTGAAGGACAACAAATAGACCCTGATCTATTTATAGGGGTTTTTTGGGTTATTGTTGTTGTTGTAGCTATTGTTTTACTTTCTATTGTTGCTTTGTTGTACTCAGTCTTGTGATGGTACATAACTGTTCACCTGGAAGGGATAGGTGGGATAAACAAGCTGGAAGAGAGAACAATAGGATGACAGTTCCGGAGGACATGGGAGAAGGGGAGCAGGGGAAAAGGAAGTGGATGTTAACAAACCCAGGGACAAGGGAAAAACAAGCAATCCAAAATCAGTGGCAAGGAGGGTGTAAGAGGTCTAGCAGGACTGCATCAAGGGCAATGTAACTGAGAGGAATTCCTAAAACCCAAATGAAGGCTGACATGGTAGTGGGACAAGAAGAAAGTACAAAGAAATAGAGGAAAGAACTAGGAGGCAAAGGGTAGTCATAGAGATCTAAATACAGATTTACACAGATGTAAATATATTTATATACGACAAGGGGGAAATAGATCTATGTACATATATTTATAGGTTTGGTATTGAGGAAACAGATGGACAATGGGCCCCTGCTCAAGTACTCCCTCAACACAAGAACACTTTGTTCTAACAATTCGGCAGTTTGAGATATTCACCTTCCTGGCATGATCGCTGAAGACAATGGGTGCACAAGCAAACCTGGTGAAGAAAGCTGATAGTGCCCAGCTACCAAAAGAATATAATATCTGAAGTCTTAAAGGCCTGAAGATAAACAAGTGGCCATCTAGCTAAGAAACAACAAAACCCACATGGAAGAAGCACACCAGTCTGTCCCAACTCAAACACTGAGGACAAAGTGGGTGCATAAGCAAATGCGGTGAAGAAAGCTGATGGTGCCTGGCTGTCAAAAGCTATAGAATCTGGGGTCCTATAGACTGGAAGATAAACAGGAGGTCATCTAACTGAGAAACAACAAAGCCCACATGGAAGAAGCACACCAGCCTGTGAGTTCACAAGGAGTCGAAGGGATCAGGTATCAGGCATCAA